GCATATAGTTTGCGTTAATATAATCTCAGGGCTTATTAACACGCTAATATTATTGTAGGCGTGTTCTGAATATGGGTCATAGTATTCTTGTATAACATAATTTAATTAAAAAATTTTATACATAATATTTATGTATTATGACTTTTATGTATTGTATATGGTATAATAGATTTGGGGCGCGCAGCTATTGTAGCTGAAATTTAAAAATTAAAAATATTATTTTTCACCAATATCCACCCTCGGCCGATATTGGCGCTCTCCCTGTTATTTATTTATTAATAAAAAAAATTATCTATGTAATGATAGACGAACGATCGCGAATCCAACACGATGTGAACGAAACTTTGCGCAACTTTTATGCACTAAGCGATGCGAGCGGAGCTGATTTACTGTAACGTGTATCGAGAGCTATACACGCAATCTCTGGGATTAGGGACTGCGTTTGCTTCCTGTACGCATACATGTCAGAACAGAAATACGAGATTTTGGTACGAATAGGGATTTGTGTCGCGCGGCCCGGCCGGAGAAAACCGAAAGCCATGAGAAATTCAGCTCTCTTCGGGCTCGCACGATCGTCCAATTACCTCGTATACAGCATTTACATAACGTATACAAACCTATCGCCCGACGCCGAAACCGCCGCAGCGCCGCTCAATGTCGCCACCCCTCACACGGACGCGACGGCCTCACGGCAACCAAAGTAATTACAGACGCGTTTCAGGGAGCACCGACTGAATACAGAAATTATGCAGATGGCGTAATAATATTCGCCACACGTTTGCTCGGGTCAATATTGAACTAAGCTTCCTCGTAATTCCTCACGAAAGACGCCACCGCGCGATTCGCCGCTGGCAAAAACTCGTTCCGCGATGCCCTTAAATTTTTGCCCGTTGTACCAATGAAGCTGCTTAAAATATCCGCTCCGGATATATGTATCTGCTAACCGCTCGCTTCGACGGACTCGCGAAAACCGTCTGGTTTCTCTACGCTTTGCAATTGTAATACCGCGCCTCTGCGACGGCACGTATTCGTCCCCTGTGAATAAATCAACTGTTATTGTTGATCATATCAAAGTCAGATATCGCAATCTTATTGCTTTTATTCAGGCGATTAATTTGTGATTCTAGTTCAACAAGTGCTTGATATTTAATCTCAAACAAGGAAAGAATTTTGCCGGAAAATCTAAAAATTTTCCTAGATACAGATCTAAAAATAATTCTTGTTGGACTATCAAAATAATTTTGTTGAAAAGTCAAACTGATTGCTAGAATAGCAAAACGTTTTATAGCAATGCTTATCATTTTTTAGTTTCCAACAAAATTATTTTCAGATCCAAAATTTTTTAATCTTTCATTAGCAAAATCGTTCTTTCCATGAAAGAAATGTTAAATCTATGATAAATTGTAGATTAAACATTAATATTCCTAGAATTTTACATTCCATGATATGGAAGACTCGGTTAAGATGAGGCCGATAAAAAGAAGTAATTATTACAGAGATTAAACATAATAATCGCAGAAACGCTTAATCATTTGTGTGTTCAAGTTTGCATACACACTTTCTACACATTGCATTTTTGCCCAACGAGTTTCCGATCTTTTTCGGCTGCGTTTGCTCGCCGAGCCCGCGTCCGCGCGCGCGGGTGTGCGTCTCTGCGGGGGTGGAGATACATTATCCGTTCCAGTCGCGTGAGAGGACGAAGCGACCGGAGATGGAGGATCGCGCACCTTCTCGCGACGCTCTCGAGCGGGTGGAGTGGCGCTTTGCCGGCCGTGGTGAATCGTGCCATAAATCAGCCGTTACCGAGTCAATTGAGACGTCGCGAGCACTCTTTGCGTTCCGAGTCCGCGCCATTGGTGTGGCTTTTTGTCAAGCGCGACGAACTCGTCGGGGACGAGAGTGAGAAAGAGTGGAAAGGGTCGGCGGGAGCGGTGCGGGTGCCCCCGCGCGGTCGTTAAACGCAGCCGTACTCGAGTACCGAAGTAACGATATGCTAAAAGGGAGCGAGGGAGGCCGGGGAGGCGAAATGATCTCTCTCGCCCGTTCTTCGCCCCGATCGCCGCGCGCGATGATATACGGCTCGATACGTCCTCTTTCTACGCGCGCGCTCTTTTGTTACCTCCCTCCTTCCGCAGACTCTCCTTCGACTAGCTTGCCTTTTCGACGACCGCCCGTTCTTTCCGTGCCGTTCGCATTCGCAACGACGTACCGAGCAAAGTGGTCCTCCGCGGTGAATTACGCCGAAACTTCTGTTCCGCCGAGAAATATATATACAGTTTCCGACACAGTCACCTGTAATCGCCGATGCGCAGAGACAGAGGCAGTTGAAGAGGCATGCATATTCGAGAAAATATGAACGCTGCGTATCATCGCGTCAGGCATGTGGCGCGAGCGTTTCGTCCCGCAGCTTCCGCCACTCCACGTGGCAGTGACCATCTGCCGCCAGATCCAGATGCACCCGCGACGCTGCTCGCGAAGATCTAATTACACGCGAATGTTACTCCCTTCCTTTAGTTCTCAATTATAATTATTACTAGAATTAGCATTGAAATATACTTATTAATTATTATTACTACTGCAATTAAAATCATTATTAAATGCTTTCATTAATTAGAAGATAGATGCGTTATACGCCTCTGTGCTTATCTCGGTGATTTGGATACGAATACAAGTTCAACAGAGTTGAAACATCGCATTCTAACTTTGCAAAGTCCATTTTTAAACTATCGATTTAGAAGAAAAGTAAGTCTTTTCGCTGTCAAAACCGTAGCTTAAATAATTTTCCAAATCACACTTACACAGTGTAACGAACTATCAATCCGTCGCATGATTACATCGAAAGTAAATTAATAATGCGTCCTACTTGGTCGAAATTCATAATCAGACCGGGAATACAATTGTAACTTTCGCAGGGCCGTTGTTCCACCGTCGCGCGTCGATGCTAACGCTCATACGCGCGCGCGCGTGCGAGGGACTATCGGTGTGTTACGCCATTAAAAGTTGCGGCATTAGTAGGCGCTAGTTCCTCTAACTCGTTGAGCATTATGATTATACCGCGAAAGTTCCAAACATTATATCACTGCACAAATACGATATTTATCAAAGTAGTTTGCACGGGAAAGTGACTTTCTTCCCGTTGAGTTATACCCGGGGCGAAACTTCTTCCATCGAAAGTAGCGGCCGTGTTAAGCGCCGGCGATCCGTGCCCGGCGGCTTGTTCGACTAAGTTTTATTGACGTCTGGAATTTGTTCGGCTGTCGTCGCGACATTGGGTCTCGCCGATGATCGGTGACGAACGAAACGTCACCGAAGCGACGGCACGGCGGCGTCAATTGCCGAACCGAGCCGGCTCTCGTTCCTTTTTCCCGTCCGACGAATAAGCTCGCGCCTCGGCTTTAGAATATTTGAAAAATGATGTAGTCGGCCGTATAAGCGTGGAAGTCTGCGAACGAGATACTTTTCCAACATTGCTGTTAGATTGTCGCCTCCGATGCGTCGGCGGCGCGGTACGGAGGCGAATCACGTCGGGACGCTAAAGAAATCAGCCCTACCTCTCGGATTTCTTCCCCCGTGCAGGTTGTCTGTAAAGTTCGAATGGAACGGGAGGCGTATCAGGTGGAATTTAATCATATAAATGGACGCGGAGCGTCCGATCCGAACTCGGCCCGATACCCGGAAAAAAAAAAAATAAAAGTTTAACGCGTGCGGCACCTCGTCCCGTCCGAAGAGGAGAGGAAATCCCCTCGGAATTTTTTTCCGATCGAATTAGCTCCCCGGTGAAACTTTATTTCGCAGTGTGCTCGCGAGCAGTGCCTGCTCTCCCCTTCTTCGTTGCGTCTATTTTTTTTAATTTACTGACAAAACGCGCATTCGACCAGCGGGGCTACCCTCCATGTTTATTCAGGACGGTTTTTATGTGGTTTAAAGACAAACGCCGAGAGAGAATCGCCATTACAGAGTACGAAGAAAAAGAAAGTATTTAAAAGCCTGTCTTCTTATTTGTGTTTATTCATAACGTTCAAAAGTGCTAAATAAATATTATGTGCACAATGACATAAGTGTAAGATATAAGTATACATATAAAGATTTGCAACATTTTTTGTCCCCAGCGTTATTGCGTAATTTTTAGAATGTCAAAGTATTTTTTTATAATATCGTGATTTTTCATGTCGTTTTTCTGATCGTTGGAAACGTCGATCTCAATTCCGCTGTGGCTGAAAGCTGAAAGTATCCGAAAGCACTGCGAATCGTGAGAACGTGGCGAGAAAACAACAGTCGTGCGACTTTTTGTTTCGTTTTGCCGTCACGTTCGTGGACTTCGCGTGCCATCGCGTCACGGGATACTAATCGAACGTAAAAGAGAGGAACTAAAAGTCGCCCGCAAGATCGACGTCGCGTCGCCGTGGTTTTTCCCCGCGTCCGACAGCCCCAGGGTAGCGCTCCCCAGCGCTCTTCGAAAGAACAATTAGTATTGTCGTAGTCTCTCGTGCGATGTGCTGCTTCGAACACAGTTACTCTGGAATTTTCCAGGACAGAGCCAATCGTAGAGCCTGCTTCATTGGTGCCGGTGCCCTCGAAGTTCTTGACAAGTCTTTCTATGCTGGAATAGCGGCCATTGAATTTTCGTAGATACAGTATTAACAATAAATTGATCTTGACTAACTTTAATATAAATTGACTTGTCTACTCTAACTAACTACTTTAACAATAAATTGACTTGTCGAGCACATTTTCTTTGCATTTAGATTTATATTAATGAATTTTCAAAAATCATAGTCTTGGCCTAAATATAAAATACTCTCAATTTATTGCAGTTTCTTCGAAAAGGCGGTATAACAAAAGCCAAAAGAGAATTAACAAAATATTAAAATTGTTTACAATAAATATTATTTTTCAATAAAATTTTCTTAATTTATTTGTCGTTATATAAATATACATTATAGATATAGAACGTTTTTTACGTCAATTTATAGAGGCTTTAGACTTACGTGGCCGAGGTTATAAAAAGACTAGCGACGTTAGTCTTTTATTCTTGTTAGATATATAGTTTATTACGTCAGATATGCTATTATAAATTTTATATGCTTCTTGCAGACCAATCATTAAGGCATATCTGTCTCCCCGAATCGCAACAATCGTTATTCTAACGTAAATACAGTTTTAACACTACTTTATATTCGCTTCGATAATTTCGTTAATATATTTTATTAATATAATTAATAATCGCTCTACAGAATTCTTTATTTGCTGTTGGCCGTTGTTCATGTCGTACTATTTAAGAATTGCAAATTGCTATGCGTGCAATTAACGTTAACTACGGTCGTGGTAAATGACGTAACGTAGCCGTTAATGTCAAAACAAAAATTTTCCTGCGATTCGTAATGACATCAGCTAAAATTAACAGTCCTATTACTTACAGAAAGTGACACTTGTGCTTTTGCTTCTGACACTGTTGTCCATGACGAAAGTGGAGGGTTGGATTACCACTGGTTTAATGTCATTAACGTTAATTACCGTCGTTATTATAAAGCTCTTCGGTATCGCCATTGCATATTACGATCTGGTAAAACGCCTCTCCTGCTCGACTCTATATAATACATTAAATCAAAGAAACGTTTATAGTGAGAGTGAAATAAATTGCATTAGCATATTTGACATTGCGTTGAAAAGCTCGTTGACCTGTTCGCGAGCATGCATTATCACACATGTTAAGCTCGACAAATCAATTGGCCGACAGGTGGACATGAGCGGTGACTGGTCGTATTTAATAGAATTTGGTTTCGGCGTTATATTAATCGCCATTGTAGTCGGGATAGAGTTGCTCGTAATTATGCGCGCGCTGACAGCGGTGGCCATTGTCGCCGCTGTATTCGGTACATTCCTCAGCTCGGTAAATATAAAACCAGACGTTGCTTATACAACGAATTTGCAGTATTCGAGAGCAAATGGAAAATTATTTCCCTAATCGATAACCATTCGCTCTCAGGTGTCGCTGATGGATCTGCATCAGAATATGAGCATCAATTCTTGGTGGTGGGAGAAAAAGCTGATCAACGGGTGCGCGTATCACGTGGTCAGGCAGTACACGCTGTTATGGTGTCTACGAATCGAGGAGAAACCACGCGTGATAACGATCTTCGATAGTGCGCCTCAGGAGCAGGAGCTCGATGTGACTGTGTCAAATAGCCAATGAAATTCCGACGCCTGTTCTTAACGCCGCGTTAACTCTTTCTATAAATGTATAACACGCGCAGCATCGGGATTTCGCGGAATCGCGATTTTGTTTCTTACGTTTTCTGATTTAGACGATATCGCCGGAACACGATTTCTCAAATTGCTCTCCGCACGGAGATACACAGGAATCCATGAAGTATCATTAAAGAATTACACACGTGAAATATATCGTCGATTCGATATCCTTACGATCCGTACGATCGTAACGACTAGCTGGAGGGACTTTGACACAGTCGTGGGTATTCCAAAGAAAACACTGCGTATGCGTAACATCAGCGTAGAAACTGAACTTGCTTTAAATTAAGAGACTCGATTTTATAGCTATCGCCGTTTCTTCGCTTTCTGAAGTGAATGGCCGCATCGAATATCTAGGAATCTATTTTACGAGTAGCTCGCAATCTATACGCGTATGCTATCAGCTATACTACTTCCTCTTGAACCATATGTCTTGCTGCATAGAACATGCCTATTTTAAAACGTTCTTGACGTCTGAGTTTTGTAACGTTATTCTTTATGCATTTATAATTGCCTTTATATATTCCTTATTATAAAAAATAAAAAAGATTATGTATGCATTATAGTTTTGCTCTTCCTCTTAAAAATCATAATTCCATTCATTGCTATTTTCGTTGCAAATAAAAAAAACAGAGATAATCCCTCCGTGCCAAATGCGTGCATCTGACAAGCATTCTGCTTAAATTAAAAACATTATATATACGTTATAGTTTTGCCCTTCCCTTTAAAAATCATAATTCCATTCAATGTTACATTCGTTGCGAGTGAAGAAACAGAAATAATCCCTCCGTGCCAGATACGTGCACCTGACAAGCATTCTGCAATCCTTTCTTATAACTTTTCACCGACGCGCTGGCAAAAGTGGAGCGTAGCATTTTTCTCGCGTTCGACAATCGCGCGAAAAAGGGAAAATAAAGACGTAAAGAGGACCAGAGGGGCACGGTAAATATTTCGCCATCTTCAGTTGGGACTTATCGGTCATAAAATGGCACTTCGGGGGCACTCGAGGGGGATGTCGTGTCGACCGTGTCGCGATGCAACGGGCACTCGTGGTCGAGGGACAAATCTTATCGACCTGGTGGCACGGGACAGAAGGTACGCACACTGTCGGACCACTTTCGGAAAAGCAAACAGCGACACCGAGCAGCCGAGCAAGGAGAGACCGTGAGCCTCTTCCTGAATAAAAGAGAGGAAGAGAGAGAGAGAGAAATAAAATACGTAGCTATCTACGGCGAGAAGAAGGGAATAAGATGGCCCAAGGGCCGGACGAGCGACGAAGAAGTAAGGAAGCACCTTTCGGTTCCCACGAGATTTTGCGGCTCGTGGTCGAGCCCGAGGGAGCCGATGGAAGTAGAATCAATTTTACGGACGGCCGGCTATCGATACCATGCCGATTGGCATCGATCCCATACAGAAAGAAAAAGAGAGAGAGAGAGAGAGGGGGGAGGGGGGAGAGAGAGAGAGAGAGGCGCTTCTTCTATCCTCGCAGAGGGACACGATGTGACGCGAAATTACCCGCCCTTCCAATCCGGACGTCCTCGGGACGTTCCTGCAGCGCGCTTCCGCTCTCGTCAAACGAGAAGCGGCTTAGAAGTCCTTGCCTCTTTCAATTTGCAGGAACCGACTAGCGACCGTCTACATCGACGATGGAACAAGGCGGCCACCCGCGTTACTTCCAACGAGCTTTCCGCCCGTAGCTCCCTCGAACCCGGATGATGACTACCTGCCGAGCTTATTCCTTATGAAAGCTCACGCCGCCGTTCCGTCCATGCACACGTACGACAGAGTAAATTTTCCTGGAATAGAAAAGCATGCCGGTCAGCCTTCGCCGAAGTAATCAGTGCCACTAAACGGACACGGCTGTCGCGCGTGTTACTATTCGTCCTAAAAGCTTCATAAATACTGTCACATTTTAATTTCAAGAGACAGTCGTCTTGCAAGTCGCAAGCTCGATAGCATTCGTCGCGTAAAAGTTTGACAGAAATATGCAAACAGATAATGCGCCATCGGAAAAGGCAAAATAGATTTATCGATTTCAATTTTTACAGATTCGGATGAATAGCTTTCTCTCCCCTTAATGATTTCAATCCGAGAGAGACTTTGTGATTTAATCGCCTACGACGAGAGAATTGCGAGGTGTAACGGTATTGTCGAAAATCTCGCGATAATAATAGGCTGAGTATGATTTATTAACCGTAACCGTTCGGCTGCATAGCGATTGTAACCGCAATTAACTCGATGGAAAGCAAGAACGTCGAAGACCAAGGCGAACTTCGTGCACTTGTGCAACACGCGCAATAGCACGAGCTGATAAAAACGGGCGATAAAAGATGACGAGCCGTCGAACTATCGCTATACGTGCATTTATTATCTTCATGGTAATGCCATGGTATTTGCATGTCGTAAGATTGAACATAGCCATTCTTTATTCCGAAGTCAGGGATTCGTAAATCATCAGGTGCAAATTAAAAATCTCTATACCTCAACGAAACAACGCCGCGACTTCGAATTATTAAGGAATATTAAATCACAATTATTATAAATCAAACGACAGGATTGTGTCCATAGAGAGTCGGAACGTCCAATTGAGAAACTGTGCAAATACAAAACGGATATCGTTTACCGAACGGCTCGTAACAAACGATTTAGATGATTTACGGCGACGTTAAAGTCGAGGCGAAACTGGCCGGCGAGGCGTGCCGCGGTGGTCGCGTGATTTCGCTTTTGCCATGGCAATAGGCGTCTAAGAGAAGATAATTATCTCGGATCCCTCGTGCCGCCGTGAAACGTTATTAAATCAGGCAATCAGTTTTTCGAGAGACCCAAAGCAACGAGGGTGTATACGCGTGCGCGCGCGCGCGCGAGAAAGAGAGAGAGAAATAAGCGACACGAGCCAGTCCGTAAGGCGTAATCCGTTTGCAGCCAGCCAGTTGAGCCAGTAAGGCGCCGTCTCAGCGAGCGACTAACGACAGCCACTTTACGACACCCACGCTCGGCGCTCGCCGCTCGAACGGTTATTAATTACGCGGCACCGGGCGTTTTCGTGCTTTACCTCCACCCCACCTGCCTTTTTCGCCGTGTTTTCCTCACACGCGCACTTCTCCACGATTCTTTGAAGCCGGCGCGGCGCGGCGCGGCTTCGATCGGGTCTCGCGCGACGGATACTTCGCACGATCCGCACATTCTTCTTTTGCCTTTGCGTTTGTAAATCTCAATGGCCTTTCAACGTCGCCTCTCTAACGTTCTTTATCGTTTATTCGTATCATTTATCAGCCATCACCTCATCCGAAACACGAAACTCTATAAAAAAAAATCTGTCTTGTCGAATCGGTATTCTACGACATGTTCGATGAAACTAAAATCTGATTTATTATGCCTATCGATTGGATGCACGTCTCTAAATAACATGACGAAGTTTTGGAAATATATATGATTGCGTTAGGACTCATCACAAGAAGCAGCAGCATTCAGATTTCGTAATCTACGCGTGACGCGTTAAAGCGACGCTCGCCGTCGCGAGCTGGAACCTCCAAGGAAATCTTCAAGGCCCATTCCGTGAAACGCCGTTATTTGTCAAGCGGGGATACAGGTTTTCCCTGTTTTCCGGATTTCTTTTGAGCACGGCGAGACACTGACACGGCGCGTGACGGCCTTCCTGCCATTCGTCCGAGACGAACGCGGCATCGAGTATTCTTTTTTTACATATCGTAACGACTCCTCTCCTGCCGCTCCTTTGACGTTCTCTTTGTCGCGTACCACCGAGGGGAGTTACGACGAGGCCTCCTTGAAACTTTCTCATTCGTCAAATTAGAATTTGCCTTTTTACCAACGCGACGCGACGGCGGCGGCGGCCCCGGGCTCCCCGGGGTCTCTCTCTCCGACGACGCCTCGTCGAGACAATGGATCAAAGGATCACACAACCATCGGCTGTACTGTATTTCCCCTGGACCCTGGATTGCCGCGCGCTTGCCAGGCGCGAGACAATCCGATGAAAATGGATCGAGTGACGTCGCGATGTCGGGTATCGAGCGCGCGAGAGGGAGTGGTAGGGCGCGCGAACGAGAAAAGCGCTTCCCTGACATTCTCCTCGATTCGTCCGTACGCTTCTCTCGCGTTTTCCTTTATTTTTGCACGAGAAAATTAGAATGTCGCGTCTACCTGTTGCAGCGAGAACGAGATGAGGAAGGAGCGAGAGTCGGAGAGGAAAAAAAAAAAGAAAAAACAGCTCGAAGCGCCAACTCTATCTGCTCCTCATGTTGCGCGTGGAGGGGGAAACGGCAACTGCGCGCGGCTAACGCGAGCCAATATCCCGAATAAATCCATCTTAAATCAATCTTAATAAAAATAAAATGAGAAAGAAGAGAGAGAGAGAGAGCGAACCGATGGCAAGACCAACGAGTTCTCCTTTCTGGCGCTTCATCGACAGCCAATAAAAGCCGCCTGGAAAAACAGAGGCTTGATAGAAGTTTAATCAAAGTCTTCCACTTCGTCATCCAGCGTTATATAACTCACCCCGGCCGCCGCCACCGCGCCGGCCTAGAATAAGCACAAGCGGTATCGCGTATACCGTTTCGATTGGCTCGTTTTCACGACTTAAAGTTACGACACCGCGCAGCGGCGGGAGAAACGGTTCGCTTCGCGAGGCTACGCGGACGCAGTCGAGAAATCAATTTCGGAATCCATCATAGAAGTTACCCCCGGCGCGGCGGAAAACGCTCTTCGCCCGCTCGAAACGTCGAGACGGTTGATACGAAGAGAGAAAAAGGGGGAGAGGGAAGGGGGTGGATGGGAAAGGAAGAAAGGGACGGACGGGAGCCACGGAAACGCGGGGAGTACACGAAGTGACTGGGTCGGACTCTTATATAAGGCGACTCAATTAGGATTAGCCCGCCGCCGGTCCGGAGCCTTTCGGTCTTTGCGCGCTGATCTTCGACTCGTTTCATCGGCTTAGGATTTACCTAAGGATCTTATTGGCATCGAGGCCGAGCCCGATCGATAACGCCCACCGTTTCACGGAGCACCGCGCGCTCACGAAGTCACGAAATCGTGATCCGCCCCGTCGACAATGAGACGTTATACCCACCGCCTAGGTATATATATATATATATATATATATATATATATGTATACATACGGATACGGTATAGGAATCGGGCGAGGAAACTCCAGAAAATCGTTTTTCCGCCCGCGTACCCGAGTGACGTAATAGAGGCGTCCTCTTTCAATGGTTATCGAGCCAACGCTCTCCGTAGACTTCGACGCTGCGGAAAATCGCCAGTTAATTGAACGAATTTCAATGCACCTCGCCGGAGGTACGTTTACTTTTCTAATTGAAGGCCGATAATTGGCGCCGCTAAGAGTACTTCGCGTCGCGTCGCGGTTGTTACAGGGAACGTCCATCATGCGGGGGATATCGCACAGAATTCATTTCCGCATAATCAAGTTTCATACCTCAATACTTCGGTCGTGTCGCGCGGCGCATCATATATGTACGAAATCGAATCGGAAGTGCGCGC